CGGGAGTGGGGAGAGGGAAGGAAGCCTGAATTATCTTAATAACGTTAGCATTGTTATTAATTCTGGCATTGCTTACCCGCTGGGCACATAAGAGTGAATAAGATGGGACAGACCCTGCTCTCCTCCAGTTAATAATGCTGATGTGGGGTGGCGGGGCGGTGGGGGGAATCTTACACCACTGAGGAAGGTGTCAAATGACAGTGCTGGTGTCAAATGACAGTGCTAAGCTTGAGACAAAGCAGTTAGGGAAGACCTTCTCGGAGGAGGTGACACTGAGGCTAAATTCTGAATGGAAAGCACATTCGGCTCACGGGAAAGCATGAAGAGTAGGTGACTTTCTATCAGGCCCCTTTCGGCCACGCCTTCCCAGCCCTCCTCTCTAGAGATCTTCCCAAGCCTTTTTCCTTCCCAACCTCACACCTTCCTGCCCTTGCCTATGCGGCCTCTGCGGCTGCGCAAGACTCTGCCCAATAGAAAACATCTCACCGCTAAACGGGGCAGGGATTGGTCCCAAGTTCCTGACGTTGCCAGGTGGGGCGGGGCTTATAGTAGCTTATTTGTGCAGGGCGGTCCAAAGGCTGGCGGAAGTGCTCTGTGTTGTTGCCGGAAGTGGGAAGAGAAGAGTTGTGATGGCGGCTGCGATTGAAGCCGAGAAGGTGAGTGCGAGTGGTCCTACCAGGAGATTTTGTTGGTGAGGGTTCCGGGGAGAGGCAAGGCTAGAGGTGGAGGCGAAGCCTGGTGGCGGGCCAGGGAGGCACAGACAATGTGGGGACGGGCCGGCGGTGGAGGGCCCAGGCCCGGCCGATCTGGACGGGTGGGAACGCGGCCTGGGCCTCTCGGGAGAAGCCGAGCCAGCCCCGCCTAAAGTCGGTCCTCTTCGCCGCAGGTGCCGGTGGACAGCGGGGAGGAGGGGCCCCTCACGGCAGCCGAGGAGCTGGCCTCCCAGAAGCGCGAACAGAGACTGCGCAAATTCCGGGAGCTACACCTGAAGCGAGTGAGTAGTCTCGGAGGCCAGCTCAGAGCTGACATCTGGCCCGGCCTGTGCGCGTTTGTAGAGGGACTGGAAAGCCGCACCAGCGCGCCTGACACCGCAGAGCTGGAGCTGGATCATCCCCTGAGATGAAAGGTTTATCCTGGTGGTTCTAAATCCTGGCAGCACATAGAGATCACTTTGAGAACTTGTGAAAATACATGTGTTCACTCCAGCGCCCCTCCCACCCACATCTGATTTAATTTATCTGGCAAGGTTTGAGAGTCTCTATTATTAATACTGACAGCCTCCTGCTCTATGATTCTAACAAACTCTTCATTTTAACTAGGTAAATATGTAGAGTTAGAGACGAGAGGAGACTTGTCCAGGGTCAATAAGAGAGCTGGCTATTTCATTTAAAGAATACGAGTCTCTATAGGACGCAATAGCCAGAAATTTACTATGGTAAATACAATGCTAGAGATAGGAACGAAGTGCTCTGGAAGTGCAGAAGAGGAGAGATCAATGCAGTTTGTGGGGCTCCAGTGAGTGCTTCATATAATAGGTGACACCTAAACTATTTGAAAAGTGAATATGATATTATTTAATATCAGACAAAGGAATCTGAGGAAGAGATACCTAAGCAGAGAGAATAAATGCAAAGAAAGAGAATTCATATTAGGGATAAGAGTCTAGCAAACAACTGGCTGTAGTTGGAGCTGAGAAAGAAAAAAGCAGTTCCTGACTATTTCAGCATGGAGTGGCCTGACTGACAGCAAGGCCATGGTGTCACAAAACCCCAACGTCTCTCTGACTATTGTGGTGAGATGAAACCAGGAAGACTGTTCAGACCACAGAAATAACCACACATCCTTTTCTTCTGGCTAACAGCAGTGTCTGTTATTACCAAATACAGCATTAGTCTCATTACATTACTCTTTCTGTATAAAAATTTAAGCTATCTAATTATAGAATGACCTTTACTTTCTGACAGTGCCCAATTTAGAGCCTTGAACCCTTCCCTTAATCACCTGATACAAACCCAAATCTTTTTTTTTTTTTTTAAGACTGAGTCTCCACTCTGTTGCCCAGACTAGAGCACCATGGCATCAGCCTAGCACACAACAACCTCAAACTCCTGGGCTCAAGCAATCCTTCGGCCTCAGCCTCCCGAGTAGCTGGGACTACAGACACGCGCCACCATGCCTGGCTAATTTTTTCTATATATTTTTAGTTGTCCAGCTAACATCTTTCTATATTTTTTTTAGTAGAGACGGGGTCTCGCTCTTGCTCAGGCTGGTCTCGAACTCCTGAGCTCAAATGATCCACCTGTCTCAGCCTCCCAGAGTGCTAAGATTACAGGAGTGAGCCACCGCACCTGGCCACAAACCCAAATCTTGGAACTATTCCCTCCTAACACTGTCTCACTGGATTGCCCATGGTTCTCCGTGATTTGTTCTCTTCTTCAATGTAACAAATTCAACTTTGTTGGACTACAGGTGTGTTCTTGGCATCATCATTGCCAGAGCCAAGAATATATGAGGGATGGTAGTTGAGAGGAGTATCTGTCTTTGCCCAGGAAAATTTAATGTAATAAACAATTAAACAAACATGCTTAAATATTTACTTAGAGGGATTATGTAAAGAACACATACCTGGAAATTAGGAGATATGATTTCTGGATGAACTGCTACCAGCCTGTGACCTAAGAAACATCTAGC